ATTTTTTTACCATAACTCGGTTAATTTTGAAGCTATAGTATCCTACAAAAAAGCATTTTAAAGATAATTTCAAGAGCTGTAAGATCGTTTGCATATAAAACCTTTTAAGTCCTTCGTTTTTTAAAGGGAAAGGATCGAAGGGCTCGAAACAGGTCGTTTTTTCACTAAAATAGATACTTCAAGCGGCGATATCTCCTTTATTTTTTATGCTATTGGAATAAAAAAAGCAAAATAAAGCAATTTGTTGAAAAAAAGCTACATTTTTGTTGTCTTATCATTTTTTACGTATCTTTCATAATTTCAGAGTTATTATATAAACAAGGCAATATTTTTTGATTAATGAAAAATATGTTTTCAACTTTTACCGTATATTATTAAAAAAATACGCATTCTAAACCTGTCTAACTTCAGGATCGTATGAAAAAAACTAAAACAAAACTAATTGTAAAGAGTTTACGATTAATTTTAATTTTGATGGAAATGGTACAGCGTTTATTGCTCATTTTTCCTTAAAAAATATGAACAACCCAACTGTTTTTGACGATAACTCCTTCAACTTTTATAAGTGCTCATTTTGAAGGTCTTTTTCAGTACTACAAAAAACTCCAAGAGCGTTATACACGTAAAATTAATCCTTTTTCCGTTATTTGACGTTGAAGTCCCCTTCCACTAACCATATTTCGCTTTGTATAGGACGTACAACACTTTTTAAAAACGATTATCTTTGTTTATTTATAAGCTACATTTTTGTTCATTACACTTTATTTAATAAAATGCGTAGTTTTTGTTATTCGCGAAAAATACTTTGAAAAAGTGTTTTTTTTTCACTCAAAATTCCAAGCTTTCAATCATGAATAACTAAAAAATTAATGATTTCTCGAAAAAATTCTTCGAATATTTTTTGCTCGAAATTTGATTCAAAAGCTTCAATGACTGTACTATTAGGCAGCCAGAATCACAAGGATGTGTATTACGGGAAAAGATAAATAATTTGTACATAAAAATATGATTAAATATTTTATCAAATTCTAGTTTTGTACCTATATTATTCTGTTAGTTTCTAGTTTCAAACTTCGTTTCTTATGATAATAAAAACTAGTTCCCGACTATTAACTATTAACTTCATTCTAACTCAGACTTATTAAACGTTAAAGTACTGNACACTAAAACAAAACTAATTGTAAAGGGTCTACGATTAATTTTAATTTTGATGGAAATGGTACAGCGTTTATTGCTCATTTTTCCTTAAAAAATATGAACAACCCATCTGTTTTTGACGATAACTCCTTCAACTTTTATAAGTGCTCATTTTGAAGGTCTTTTTCAGTACTACAAAAAACTCCAAGAGCGTTATACACATAAAATTAATCCTTTTTCCACTAACCATATTTCGCTTTGTATAGGACGTACAACACTTTTTAAAAACGATTATCTTTGTTTATTTATAAGCTACATTTTTGTTCATTACACTTTATTTAATAAAATGCGTAGTTTTTGTTATTCGCGAAAAATACTTTGAAAAAGTGTTTTTTTTTGCACTCAAAATTCCAAGCCTTCAATCATGAATAACTAAAAAATTAATGATTTCTCGAAAAAATTCTTCGAATATTTTTTGCTCAAAATTTGATTCAAAAGCTTTAATGGCTGTACTTTATTAGGCAGCCAGAATCGCAAGGATGTGTATTACAGGAAAGAATTTGTACATAAAAATATGATTAAATATTTTATCAAATTCTAGTTTTGCACCTATATTATTCTGTTAGTTTCTAGTTTCAAACTTCGTTTCTTATGATAATAAAAACTAGTTCCCGACTATTAACTATTAACTTCATTCTAACTCAGACTTATTAAACGTTAAAGTACTGGTGTTTTTATTCTTAAATATATTTACAGTATGCACTTTTATATGCTAGACGATGCACGCGATTGTACGTCTATTTTATTCCACTAATTTTGACATTTTGTAATGGTACCTATGCTTTGCTTACCCTTCGTAGTCTGGATGAAGAATGTATTTATTAATAGAAACGAATTGCCTTTCCGGGTTGGCGTCGTCCTGGTTGAGGATACCAGCCAAAACAGAGAGGCTACCAATAGCCGGCAACTCCGTGAAGCAGTGAGCAGCGGTGAGCAGCCATCTAGACGACAATATAGTGGCCCCGCAGGAATGTTGGCAGATTCCCAGTAAGCAGTACTGCAAGGATACTATGGACGGGAATTCTCCCCAGACTGCGTCGCTACCACCGAAGATGCGGCCACTTGAGAACCCCAACAGGGTATTTGGAGCGGCTGCAAGAAGAGATCGTCAAAGAAAATCGACATTATACCACTGTAAATGATCAAAGACATCAAGAAAAATTTCGTAATACTGTCAGACAATTGATGTGGCTTTTCTTTAATTCAGAGACTTACCCAAGGTGATACCAAGAAGGGCTAGAACACACAGCAGCAGTTTCATTTTGAATTTGCGGCGAGAGTAAGTGTGTCTTCCTTTTTATCATCATTAGGAATTAGGTTATCTAGTTATTAACATTTTTAATTCCACAAGTTCATAGGTGGCGAAATGTGACGAAAACGCAAATCATCGATTTTGTGTTGTCTCATTATTCCTAGATAAAATACTCCATATTTGTCCACATTTCTATTCAGGTACTTTTTTCCAAAAAGTTAATGCGAGTTAATATTTGCAGCTGATACGACTTACATCTGTGACAATAGGGATTGAATCTTAATTTTTTTTTTGTAAATTATGAGATACAACCAGTATTACTTCCAAGAAAATATTTTAATAAATTGTTTAGTGCCAAGTTGCTCAGGGACGTAACTAACTGTACATTCAAGGAAGCTCCTCCATTACCACATAGACCAAGAACCTCCACCCTTCGAAGTGACGTAACTTCATTAGTGACAGAAGCATTTTTCAGAAGTAAGGATAAATAATATCTTTATTTGAAAGTCGATATCGGAAATAGACGGATCAATTTCCAGATACTTAAAAAAGTTTAAATGGTGACAAGAAGGCTTAGGTATGGATTAAAACATTTGTTTATGCAGTCAGCAAAAAAATTAGGGCGCAGAAAAATGTTCACAAAATGACTTTTTGCTATTTTAGAAAATCGACGACTACTTTGCGAATATTGCGAAAATTACCAATATTTGGGCATGTATTGTGCTTTTTTTTTAGCACAATACATGCCCATATGTGGCCTGTACATTTTGAAATCGATCGGTCGAACCGTTATCCTTTCCTGAATCGTCAAAATGTTATATTTTTTTTTGCGTTATTAATTTCACATTGAATATTTCAAATGTCCAAAAAATTTGTAATTTTGAAAAATGATTTTTTTAAATTCAAAATACGTCAGAAAATTATACTGAATCATTCGGTTTTGATGCGATTTTTTTTTCTTGACGTATTTCATCCAGTTAAAATTAATTGCATTAAAGTTGATATCCCCAACTGAATCTTCATGCAATTTTTTACACGCACCCGTATACGATTTATTGATCCTTTTTTCCGAGAGTTCTTAAGCTTTAAAAAAAAACAGTTTTTTCAAAACTACCAATTTTTTTCATTAAAAAATTAATAATCTTGAATTTTATTAACAATTTTTTTTTCAACATTTGATAAGTAGGTATTCAATGTGAAATTGTAAAAAAAATTATTTAGAAATTTTTTTTTTCCAAAATTTTTAATTTCCTTTTTTTTATATTTGATGAGTATTTAACGTGAAATTGTGAGATAAATAAAGCAAAACATTTTTTTTCGTCATCATGGTTAATTCATGTTTAAAGAGCAATAAACCTGCTTTTTTAATTATTTATAAAATTTTGACGATTCTGGAAAGGAAAACAGTTCGATCGATCGATTTCAAAATTTACAGGCCTCATGGGCATGTATTGAGGTAAAAAAAACCTACAAACATTGGTACTTTTCGCAATATTCGTAAAGTAGTCGTCGATTTTCCAAAACAGGAGAAAAAGTATTTTTTTTGCACTTTTCAAATTAATATTGAGTGATGCTCAAAAAAATTTTTCATCTCAAGATTTCAAAACTAGAATCTATAAGTTACAAGATTCTTCTTTTTTTCTCGATACAACCATTTTCACGAAGTTACTGCCTTTCAAAGATCACTGAATAAATTTGGAAATTTTCCTACTTCTTTAATTTTTTTGCCGAGTTTATAAATTTAAATACATATAATACATTTGTAACTACACACATTTCAAAGTTAATGCAAAAATCTTCAATTTTTTACTAGCCTTAGAAGTACCATGTTACATCAGGTTACATTAAAAGTTTCTTGTTCAGTGGGTGCATATACAGGTTCGGAAAGTCCCCATGGTTCATTGGCCGTTACGTGAGAGCGATAAAGTAAGTCATAGAAATCCGTGCGATAGACAAGGATGGTTACATTGAAAACGTTTCATAATCTGAATNTTTTATTAACTATTTTTTTTTCAACTTTTGATAAGTAGGTATTCATTGTGAAATTGTAAAAAAAAATAATTTAGAAATTTTCTTTTTTCCAAAATTTTGAATTTCCTTTTTTTTATATTTGATGAGTATTTAACGCGAAATTGTGAGAAAAATAAAGCAAAACATTTTTTTTCATCATCATGGTTAATTCATGTTTAAAGAGCAATAAACCTGCTTTTTTAATTTTTTATAAAACATTGACGATTCTGGAAAGGAAAACAGTTTGATCGATCGATTTCAAAATTTACAGGCCTCATGGGCATGTATTGAGCTAAAAAAAACCTACAAACATTGGTACTTTTCGCAATATTTGTAAAGTAGTCGTCGATTGTCCAAAACAGCAGAAAAAGTATTTTTTTGCACTTTTCAAATTAATATTGAGTGATGCTCAAAAAAATTTTTCAACTCAAGATTTCAAAACTAGAATCTATAAGCTACAACATTACTTTTTTTTCTCGATACAACCATTTTCACGAAGTTACAGCCTTTCAAAGATCACTGAATAAATTTGGAAATTTTTCTACTTCTTCCTTCTTTTCTTGTTACACTGCCCGTTTTACGAAAAACATTAACACAACGCTGAACTGCACTTTGAAAAATTTTGTACTCAACAACGCCGGGATATTGATTTTGAAATTCTATGAAACATTCCTCAATAGAATACTTCCATATTCCATCAATCTTGCGTTCATTTCTAAAGTAGGACTCTATGATAAACATTTTTTGTTCTTGAGAAAACACCATTTTAAACGCTTTTTAAAACGAAAATATTCAAATTGATAACGGCGATATTGCGCTTTGGCAGATGACGTTTAAGTTCATTTACTATACGCTACGCCCTACGTCCATATTTTCAGAACCAACTTAACCGCGTTTTTATTTGAACGCTCGTTATATTTGCTATACGAAAACAATACTTTCCAATTTTAGCTTTAAGTATGCAATAAGTCAAAAATCAAAACAAACTGCAAATTTTTAGCGATTATGGCTGCCAAATTTGAATGTTACTACCAAATCTGAACTGCTCCAGAGTTTTTTTTGCGTAATATTATAAAAATCTATAGTACCCGCCAATAAAATTTGTATTTTTAATAACCAAACAAATCTGTAGATATAGTCTGACAATAGACGTTGTGCAACTTCAATTCTTATGTATTATCTTTGATAATATCTCAGTTCTTAAGCAATAAAGGAAGTTCTAGAAGTTTTATCACAAAATACGAGCACTTAACGGGTATATCAAAATAATTTATCGATCACTACTAATGCTTAAGAGTCTTAACCTTTTTATTATCTCTTACCTTAAATGTACCGTTTTAAAGCAAATTTATGAGCATCAAGATAACTTGACGCATTGTCAATAGAAAACAATTGAATTTTGACATATTTATTGCAATAATATTTAATGGATAACGAGATATTATATCTTAGTTATTGAATAACAGATAAACTGGAGTATACTGATACCTTTTTTTATAAATGTTGAAATAACGCAATTTGGATATTTTTCAAGTGGAAGTCTCTATTCAAAAATATTTCACATATGTAGATGCTATTAATTTTTCACATACCATGTAAAGTTGATATATAAAACAAATCTATAATTCTTGTTTTAATATCGTTGCTTCAACTTGTTTTTTCGTTAAACTCTTGTTCTATACAATGGAAAATCAAGCGGGTATTAATCTGGGACTACAAGGATTGTTTTGGAACCAGATTGGGCAATGAAATATTCGCATAGCTAACTAGTACTTTACTGCGCATTTTAAATAGAAAACAAATGATTGAACGCACTCAGACAGAGATAGAACTTCTGATCCAGCGGGTGTAGTAGCTGACTCTGTTGTAGACAGACGGTGATCCCGCTCTGCCGCATGGTGTAGCGGTCCAAGTCGCGATACCGATCAATTTTTGTCCTTGGGGATCAGCCAATGGACCACCAGAATCTCCTGTGCAAATGGATACTCCTCCAGACAATGGTCCCGTACATACGTTGGCGTCCAAGTCCAGGGGATTCGGCCTGCCTCCTAGTATGGCCTCGAAAGCTTGTTTGCATGCTGAAAAAATATTGGTTAGGATTTTCTTCGGGCTTTGAAAGGTATTTTGAACTTACTCTCAGGAACGATGATGGGTACTTCAACATATTGGAGGGTAACGGGCATGGTGGGTACTTCAGTTGCAGTGGTGGATCCCCATCCTGACAGGACTGCGTTGCCCTCGAAGACTTCGTCTTGGTCGGGAAGACTGATCGCTTGAACCAGAGCGTTGAGGGTGAGGGGGGTGGCCAGCCTGAAGATCGCCAGATCGTGGGGAACAGCGTTGCCACTGGAAAGGAAAATCAATGGGTGTTAGGTGTTTCTGCGTGGATATATTGTCACATCGACATCTCGTTTAGCAATTAACATACAAATAAGTAGTAGCAGTTTAAACTGGAATAGATTGCTGTTTGCTAAGGACCAATTTGATAATGAAATTCAGAACTGCTTTCAAAGAAGCTGTAAAACCGTAAATCTAACAATTTTGGGAAAGTAATTCATCCTTCCTAAGACGAAATCATCTTGATATTGATTGATTGATCGATTGATTCTTCCAATAGTGACATGTAACTGTATTTCTCCTGAGACAATGCATCTTTAGTACAATTGGTTTCTTTTTGGAAACGCAAGAAGAAAATATTTAGTTGCAATACACGCTTCCATCTCCAGTTTTAAGAATTGCAGTTTCATCTTTCTGAAATCGTGTTTTCTGAACTGTTTTTTGGTTTGTGATGGATCAAGCCAGAATATTTTTCTGTGCAGTTTATATCAGCAGACTGCGTCTAAATTCCGAGGGGATCTTGAAGAGCGAAGATGTCACAGCATAATTGGTTGTGAATAATCACCGACTTGCCTTATGATCGATCGGAACAATAATTTTACTATACCTTCAAGAAGAAGAGAAGAAATCGGAAAAACTCACCCTTCATAATCGGGGTGGATGAGGACGTAGCTGACGCGGATCACCTGTCTTTCGGGGTTCTCACCGTTGAGATCGAGGACGCCAGCTAAGATCTGGTAGCTGCCAAGGGCGGGAGCTTGGGTGATACAGTGAGCAGCTGACAGGACCCATAGGGAACCGATGATGGCACCACCACAGGCGTGCGAACATGTACCCTGGATGCAGTATTGGACTGAGGCCTGGTAAGTGAACTGGCCGGACACGGCATTGCCGCCGCCTACGACTCGACCACTGGGAAGATCGTTGGGAGCAGCTGGAAAGAGGAAATTGATATTTTGCGTTATTAGTTGATGTATTTTCATTATTTTTCTATATTAGGGTGAAATAGGAAAAATAACATATTTAGAACCTATAAATTCCTCAAATCCTACTCTACTAGATTTGTTTTACTTTGGTGCTAACTCGGGACTAAACTTTGACGACGAGAAGTGTAAAAAAAATTCTACTGTTTGCAGGCTGTTAAAATTACGAACTTTTTGATTAATAAAAAAAATTAAATCAGGATATTTGACCGGTCTAACCGTTGCAATGTGCAACGCAGGGCACTCATTATTGTTCCAGGAAAAGGGCCACGGCAGATTGGCGCTAGGGGCTAGATCCTCCACACCAAGACTCTTCAGTGAACGCTCCCCACTTTACATTTATTTTTACTACATTATGTTCTCAATAAAAATACTTTTTATTTTTACCATTGAGAGAGAGTTTCATTTTGCTGCACTACAAAACCAACCCTCAATACTATTAAATAATGATTACGAAATTTTCTCCAGAAAACAGAAGAGCATACATAAGTTCAACGTCGGCTAAATTGATGTCGCGTATCCAAAAAAGTTACAATATCTCGTAAAAGAGACCCCAAATAAAGATCTTACAAGGTTGAAAAAAATAGAATAAAACGCAGCTTTATCTAAAACATATTCGGAAAGCACAAGCCTACTCAAAAAAATAGGGGGTCTATAGGTATTGCAACCCCCTTCCCCTCGCGCTTTGATATTTTAAACCAAAATTACACAAAAAATTTGCCGACTTAAGATCAAAATATGTGCCAAATTTCAAAAAAATATTTCTACAATCAATAAAAATCATTTTTTAAATTTTGAGTTTGAAATGAAAAGTGGCATAAGAAAAGTCCCATTATTTGGGTCCAAAGAATATGTGGTTAACTGCTTGACCTATTAATTTGTAACACCATGTATATATTAATTATCTTTTTCTAAAGAGGGCATCGTCCTTTTCACTAAATCTGGATAATTTTTATATTCGTTAAAGCGATTTTATTAGTTCTCTTTATAGTCCTGTAGTCAGGGGGTCCCAATTGCCTCCTTCCTTTAGATGGAGTTACCCAAGTGTTTTTTGTGTATTTTGAGCTGCAGAACACGAATTTTTTGGGTAGAAGTTTGCCCGGATGTCGATAAATTTTTTATTAACCAGAAACTTGCAAAATACTCAGAACTTAATTTTTGGCAAAATAAAATAGCAATGCAATAGCAATATTGTAAATTAGAATTAACCATGCAAACATTATATCTTTGATATTTCAATTTTTCCGCGCATTTTGTTTTAAACGATTGTCATTTATTTTTAAAACATGTTTGTAGTCGCGCTTCAAAATTGCACTGAAGATGTAGAATTATTAACGTTCATGTTACAAGATGAATAGCTTAATTAAATCAGATCTTTGCATTATTTGTCAAAAAAATTTTAATTTTAATTATCGTAATATTGCNAGACATTTTCTTCTTAAAATGGGTCAAAGAATAAGAAAATATTTTATTTTGCCAAAAACTATGTTCTCAGTATTTTGCAAGTTTTTGGTTAATAAAAACTTATCGACATCCGGGCAAACTCCTACCCAAAAAATTCGTGTTCTGCAGCTCAAAATATATAAAAAACACTTGGGTAAGTCCATCTAAACGAAGGAGGCAATTGGGACCGCCCTGGCTACAGGACTATTAGTTTTCCACAGTATTTAATTCATTTGTGAAAACTTTCTGTTCTAGGTAAATTGGTAATTTTTGTAATTATTTGAATAAACAATATACACAACGAGAATGTGACGGATCCTTTTAAAATTATTGCCATTTTTCTCGAAAAAGAAACGTTATTACTTACGAATCAAACTAATCAAAGTAGGCTATTGAGATATCGAAACATATTTCAACACAATATAGGACAACACTTTGAAGATGTTGACAAATTTAAAAAAATTACTTTACTAAAACTTTATTGCTTTTAGAATTTGTGATACGATATTATGGAGCACCCTCTATGAATACATTTTTATTTCCTCTAGAAAAAAATGCTTACTCACCATAGGCTCCAACGAAAAGGACCGACAACCACACTAAAGCAGACTTCATCTTAACTGATACCGATTCGATAGTTATGATTCATTTTATATACGTGTTTGATATCAGTTTATCATCAAGCTCTTAAAATCCAGAACACGTAACAAACAACAGGTGTGAACAGAATTTAAGCCCGTAGCACTGCAGGGAGGCTATGGATGGGAATTATTACCTGTTTGTGTCGCTACTACCAAAAATATACCCCTTGGGAACCCTAAGGTACCTGGAACAGCTATGAAAAAAAGGAATGGACAAAGGAAATTTATAGTTTAACAGCGGATGTGACAATATCAAAATCATCATGAAAAATTTGGTCGAGTTTGGTAATAATCTCAAACAACTAACGTGATGTTTCCTTGATTCCAGTACTTATTCAAGGTAGTGCTAACAAGGGTTAGAACACGGTAGCAATTCCATTTTGGACTACCTGCGAGAATCAGTGTGATTTTTGTATCATATTTTAAAATGAAGTTATGAAATTAATTCGTAATTGGCAACACTGATCTAGATAATCTTATGAAAGCAATGATGTTAGAAAAAACCCAAAAGCGTTGTAAAAGCTAAGCAACTTGGTTAAAACCAAATTTGCCCATATAGAGACAATTAATTGCATTGCCTAGCAGCCTTGATTTTATTCGTTCATAATTTTGTTTTTTAAATTGTTTTGAGTATGAACCTCCTTATACAATATTGTTTCATTTTCATTACTTTTTCCAAGTCGGATTAACTTCTTAGCTAATATCTGAACATCGGTGACAGGTAAACTTAAGTCAGGATCGATTTGATTGATTTTTTTACCTTATTGGATTAGTAAGTTAAGTGTTATCGGGAGATTTTCCGCAGCAAAGTCTGGTCTATACAAAAGTGAAACCTTATTATGGCACTAATTTTTAACTTCATGCGTACACTAAGTTCAGAGGTAACAACTTCTTGAACAAATTTAAATCTTTATCAAAACAAAGTTGTTCAGTCTTTAGGGGATCTAAGATATGTATATGTGTGTCAGTTTTAGCACCTTACCAAAATGCTTCTCTAAACTTAATGGCGGATTCTACGATACAAAGTAACAAAAAAAAACAGTGTACATGGCGGTACAGAACTGAAGATTAGCCGCAATTACAGGAAAACGGTAAGAGCAAATAGAAAACCGCAAGCGGGAATATTTGCAGCATAATTTTTTATTATTTTCCCCAACAATTTTTGTGAAAGATGTTAAGTCAAGTACTTATATCACTATACAGTTTCCAATTTCCTCTTTTTGTTTTTCTGTAATGGCAGCAGACAGTTTGGGGTCACCCTGTACAGGGTGTTCACAATTAAGGACGATATATGGTTATATCAAGTTTCAAAAAACTGTTGGAGAAATTGAATTTGGTGTTTTGCAGAAATTATCTGAATTTTTGACTAAAATGTTATAATTTTTCTCAAAAACGGATTATTCTGGCAGTAAGTAAAAAAAATCGGAATAAAATTGCTCTGTGAGTAATAAACAATTAATACTACGTTCCAATTTTGAACGAAATATGGTGTATCTTAAATCTTAATAAAGATATATTTATCTATCAGTAGTATATTTAAAAATATTAACTGAAACTTATTTTCTCTTTTGACTTAAATTCAAATAAATTTATAATCAAGGTACGTATTGACAGTCGAAAACAATTGAAATTTAATATGTGTTGCAATAACGTATAATTGATTACGAGACTTATAATGGAAAAACCGGTGATTACAAATCTGGACAAACACCTGGCTGAAATTAATACATTTTTATAGAATGTAATTATAGTTTTGGAGGTATGTTGGCAAATCAAAGATCACATAGCGAACTAATACTTTATTTCGCAAACTAAATAGGTAATAAATGAATTGAACGTACTTAGACAGAGATAGAACTTGTGATCCAGCTGATGTACTGGCTAACTCTGTTGTAGACAGAAGGCGCTCCTGGTCTACCGCATGGATTGGCTGTCCATGTCGCGATACCAATTAGTTTTTGTCCTTGGGCGTCAGCCAGTGGACCGCCAGAATCTCCAGAACAAATACCGACTCCTCCTGTCAATGGTCCTGTACAAATGTTGGCTTCCAAGTCCAGTGGATTTGGCGTGCCTCCTAGTATGGCATCCAAAGCTTGCTTGCACGCTTGCAAAAAAATATTGTTTAGGGTTTTCTTCAGACCTCGAAAGGTATTTTGGACTTACTTTCAGGAAGGATGATGGGTACCTCAACAAATTGGAGGGTAAGGGGCATGTTGGCTACCTCAGTGCCACTAGTGGATCCCCATCCTGACAGGATTGCGTTGCCCTCGAATATTTCGTATATGTCCGGGAGATTGATTGGTTGAACCAGAGAGTTGAGGGTGAGGGGAGTGGCCAGCCTGAAGACCGCTAGATCGTGGGGAACAGCGTTGCCACTGGAAAGAGAAACGAATGGGTGTTAGGTGTTTCTGCATGAATGGATTGTCAAATCGATACCCCGTTTAACTAACATACAAATAAGCAAATAAAGTTGTATTAACTACTAACACTTGGAGCAAAAATATTTGACAGACTCCTATGGTAGCTGATATCCATATTTTATACAGGGCATCTTTTATAATATGATCACTTTTAGAAAGTTTGTATTTTTTTTGTTCTATTTTATTCACATATCGGTCCACTTCAACATTTATTAAGCATGTTCTATATCTAAAATTGTTAGTTTTTAAGATATAAAAACATTCCTGAAAAAAAAAATAATTTTTATTATTTTATAGAATACCACAGATAAATATTGACTAATAAAATTAACTCTAAATGCAATGATAAATTATGAACTCACAAGTTGACGCAATATGACAGTATTTTCCAAAGCCATTTCATGCGACCGAAAATAATAAAAATTTGTTTTTTCCAGAAATGTTACTTGCAATATCTTAAAAACTAACAACTTTAGGTGTAGAACATACTTAATAAAAGTTGAAGTAGACTGATATGAGTGATATGTGAATAAAGAAAGAACAATAAATTACAGGGTGTTCCATTTAAAAAATTTTAGAAAATCAAGTTTGCACTTTCTGAAAATGATCGTATTAAAAAAAATGCCCTGTATCAAAATATCGATATTAGCTAATATAGGAGTCTACCTAACATTTGCCTATAACTCTGTCAAATATTTTTGCTCCAAGTGTTAGTAGTTGAAAGTTAATACAATTTCTTCGAGGTCATGTTTCTTTTCCAAAATTCGAAGAATTTTCTACATAACTTGGCAACCCCGCACTAAAATGCAAAATCCATATGTTTAAAAATATACAGGGTGTTCCATTTAAAAAATGTAATATTTGACGTGTCCCGTTTTTACTCATAGTCCTGTGTGTTTCATATTAATTGTGTCCTTTAGGTTTTTTGATTCCATACAACTTTTATATAAACTTTTTTCTGTATCATGAATAACATGGGAGTTATTTTACTTTCTCACACTAGTGGACTAATGGCCCACCCAGTATATATACAGGGTGTTTCTAAAATAGGGTTCCAAACTTCTGCTGTGTTTATAACTCATTAAAATAAGCCAAAAAGTTCCTATTAACATGTGCCTTAAAACGCACCCTTAGAAAGTTATATGCCCTTAAAAGGGCTCAAACAAAACTGGTTTTTTTCAAATAAATTGCAGTTATGAAGGATCCGATCATTTAATAAATAATTTAGGACATAAACTAAGACTATTTAAAGTAAGTAAGAGTTATACTTACTAATTAAAGAACTAATTACTACTGCAGACAATAGCTAATATAATATTAATATTAAAGAGCAGAGTAATTTTCAAACTCAATTTACTCGAAAACCATTGGAATTATCGATTTGGACAAAGATAATATTTTTTACGTAAAATTGTTAAGATTTTATAAATCTGTGGAGAAAATTGTAAAAAAATTGAAATAAAAAAAAATTACGTGCCGAAAACCCCCTTCACCAACCTAAATCATCGCATCATTTGCATGCCGAAAAACGGAGTAGCCCATGTTATTTAACGTAAAAAGTTATGTAAGATCCATATATTTTTTTCTATTTATTTGCGACCGTTTTGTCAATAACAGAAAAAAAAAAACAGTTTTGTTTGAGCCCTTTTAAGGGCTCAAACAAAACTTCCTAAGGGTGCGTTTTAGGTCACATGTACACAGGAACTTTTTGGCTTATTTTAATGAGTTATAAACGCAGCAGAAGTTTGGAACCCTATTTTAGAAACACCTTGTATAGGCAAGAAAATATTTTCTTCTTTCAAGAAAATTATTTACTTATTTAAATTCTTTAAATTTCTACCCAGAAATATAATTTCTTACTTTAAAAATAGACAGTATTTAAAATAATTATTTGGTATTTACGGATAAACAAATTCTATTTGTTAAGATCTACATAGATTTTATAGAAACATATTTTGTATGGTTTTTTTGGTCAAATGATTGTATATACTTAGTTTAAGAATATATTTGGATATAAATATTTCTCAATAATATGTTTGTTCAAACTTCAAACTCTAGTACAACAGCTAGGATCGTTCGTAATTTAAACCAACCAGACATAAGTCGGTTTGGGACTTATTGATGGTCCTCATCATTATGTCTTAGAACGATCCAGCTGCTTTAGTGTCGTTACTCCACAAGGAGAAGTGGATCCACGGAGCGTAAGTGGCTCCATCTATCGCGTTTCTTTCCACCTACGCCATTCTGTGACCTGCTACAATTTTCTTTCAATAAAACATAAGTTTGATTATAATATGCTACATTTGTCTTGAATAATTCCTACAATAATACTACATTTTAATTATACAGGGTGGCCAAATGAAAACGAAACAGAGCCATTTTCAGGAACTGCGTCAAGATTGTAGAAAATCGACTGGTCTAAGCGTTTTTCTTCAATATTGACGCAGTTCCTGAAAATGGCTCTGCTTCGTTTTCATTTGACCACCCTGTATATTAAGGAACTGGTAGTTTTGAAACAAATATGTTTGCAGTTTATGATGAACTGCAAGAGATATTGTACCTAAAGCCCGAGATAATAAATTTCAAAACTATAAAAGATTGGAATTAAATTATATATATTTTCAAATAATATAAATTCTAAGAAAAATTATAGATTACAGTAAATATTTCTAACAAACATACATTTGAATAGAATAAAATAACATTTACTGTAAATAATTCCATTTAAAACTATCTGCCCATTGATCCAAATACTTTTTTTTCCAGTGTATACTTAATAGCAGTTTAAATTGAAACACATTGCTTATATATGACCAGTTTCATAATGAACTTCAAGACTGGTTGAAAATTTAAAAAAGCTTTAAATCCACTATAACGATGAACTTAAGATTTTCTTAATTTAAAACTAGTATTTAACATTAATATAGTCTTGACTTCATATTCAATAACTTTGGAAAAGTCTATTCATCCTTATCATCTTAATAATTATCCATTAACTGTTTCCATCGCAACGTGTGATTATATTAATCCTGGGTAAATTTATTTTCAACCCATTTTAGTTTCTCCTTGGAAAAGCAGGGAAAAAATCTTCAGTTCCAATGTTTTACACATTTTTGCCTCCAGTTTCCTCCAATCGCATCTGAGGGGTTTGGATCCTGAAGATCGTTTGAAGAGCAAATATATTGTCTATATTTTTGGAACTTGAAGTAACAACCACCAATTGACCAAACTACGACTTAGCTTATGATCGATCGGAGTAATAATTTTGCTACATCTTCAAGAAATCGAATAAACTTACCCGCTGTAGTCGGGGTGGATGATCGCATAGCTGACGCGGACCACCTGTCTTTCGGGGTTCTCGTCGTTGAGATTGAGGACGCCGGCTAAGATCTGGTAGCTGCCAAGGGCGGGCGCTTGGGTAATACAGTGAGCAGCTGACAGTACCCATAAGGAACCGATGATGGCGCCGCCGCAGGCGTGCGAGCAGGTACCCTGGAGGCAGTATTGGACTGAGGCCTGGTAAGTGAACTGGCCCGACACGGCATTGCCGCCGCCTACGATTCGACCACTGGGAAGATCGTTGGGAGCAGCTGGAAGGAGAAAATTGATATTTTGAGTTAGCCTGCAATTGTTCAAGGACAATGCAAGGATATTTTGCATAAATAGCAAATTGTTAATAATGTACAGGGTGATTCATTATATTTTGACCCCCCCTTTAACTTTTTTGTTTTGGGAGTTATAAACAAATGTGAAATACAAAAGTTTTTATGAATTTTTCGAAAATGAAAGTAGAAAAACAAGTTAAGTTAAATGGAACACCCTGTACATTTTTACATATTTGGATAGAACGGTCCCTGTCGAGCATAGGCATATAGGGTTTGTTGGGTCTATCTGTAACAATAAGCAAGATACTATTAAATAACTAAAAGAAGGTTTTTTATTAAGAAAATAAGACATCTTGTAATTGTTAGACCTCTTTCAGGCACTTCTGCCTTTTTTATTTTTTATAACTCTCAAAACAATAAAGTTAAAGGAGGGGTCAAAATATAGTGAATCACCATGTACTCATCATAATAGAAAAAATAACATATTTTGAAACTATAATTTCCTCAGATCCTACTCTGCTAGATTTTTTTTTCTATTTTGGCCTAAACTTGATAACTTAATTAAAACAACAATTGAATCAAGATATTTTCCATAAATTGGCCCATAAAACCATTGCAGCAGCATCTGGTTTTGGGTCCCAAAATGATTGAACAAAATTCATATTTTTTTTCCAGTCAAATTTAAAAGAATCGCAGAAACAGGTCAATTAGTAAATAGACTTTGTCACCTTTCTGCAATATTTTCTATTTTTTTTAGCCATGTTTAACCGGCATTTTTTTAATAGGACGCTCTATATTTTATAGTATAAATAAATAGCCCTTCTAATCACGAATTCAGCGATATAAGGTTATACTACTTGTTTGTCATTGTTGTCAAAAAATGGAGGAATTAAATGAAAACAATAATTTAGTACTACTTTTTATTTTATTACATCAAATGTTCAAAGTGGCTCCCATTAACCATTGCACAATTCGGTGTTATATTTCGAACTTCTATGATACGATTTTTCAATCCTTCGATAGTGTCTGGTCTGTTCACATACATTTTGCTCACAAAAAAAATGTAGTGGGGTTAAGTCAGGGGAGCGTGGTGGCCATTCAAGCGGCCCTCTTCTGCCTATCCATCGATTTGAAAAAACTTTATTAAGATAATTTCTTACATCGAGGCGAAAATGTGGAGGGGCACCATCTTCTTGGAACCAGACATCACCAGCAGGCATATCGTGCTCATTAGGGTTAGGAAAAATTAATTCCAGGGCTAGAATCAGCTGAAAACGCAAAAAATCCAAATAAATGTCGTCTGTCAAACTGCCCTCAAAGAAATAAGGTCCCAGTATGGATTTCGTACTATTCCAGCCCAAACATTCACTTTTCCGGCCGTTGTGTATGATTTTCTTGCATCCAATGCGGATTTTCTGGGATCCAAAACCTAGTATTTTGCCTGTTCACGGTTCATCTTCTGTCTGTATCATCTGCCCATAGTTCTTGTAAGACGTTAACTTTGTAAGAATACGACTTTTGAGACTTCCGAGTTCTGTGAACTGAGGACTTCGACAAGCTGATGTTGGCTGAGATAGATCTAATGGATGAGTGAGAATTTTTCAGTAACGAGCATCACGTTAACGTATTCGTGACGGTTTGTTATTTTCACCGACGGTGTTTTTCTGTTAAGTGTATTTAAGTTTAATTGATATTAGATATATGCTACTCGTAAGTCCACGTTGAAATCAGCTATTTTTAACAAGTCTTCTATATCAGGCGTATTTACTTTAAATTTTACTTGTTTATTCCTATTTCCTATTTCTATCCTATTTTTTCGCAAAAAACTGTGAACTGCATTTTCTATACATCGAACTGTATCTCTGTTTAAAATATATCTGCGCGGTAAGGTTCACTCTGTGTACATATTAAAAAAAAAACTAAAAAATTCATATTTCGTATTTAATTTTTCTCTTTAAATTTAAATTTTTTATTTCTATAAAATGTACACAGTGTTTCAAAATAACGTACCATAATTAATAAGGACAACATAATATTATAAAATAAGGTTTTGACCATGAGGGTCTATCATCTTTTGTTTTCAAAATATATTTTTTAATTCTGCTCTGCACAAAAAGTGTACTCTTGTCAAAAGCGCAAAACTTACAGGTGTATTCTCGTTTTATTTTTATGTTCATCATAGAAGTTATAATTGATAAAAGTAAACAATGTTATCGACAACATGCAAAAAACACATGTTGTTCCACTAACTCTGGATAACAATCTTTAAGTTCATTAAAACAATTTTATTGGTTCTCTTTACTCTCCCATTGTATTTAAATTATGTGTGAAAACATTCTGTTTCATGTGATTATTTGAACAGACGATATAATTGTACAATTTATCAGAAACTAAATACGAATTGCCATTTTTATTGGAAAGAAGCGTTTCCGCGAATTCTGATAGCAATTTAAAAACCATCCGTATTACTCACTAATCAAACTAGACTCTTGAGTGCCTCTCGAAACATATCTCTACCAAATTTCAATACAATATAAGACGACACTTTGAAGATATTGACAAAAAAAATTAAATTAATAAAACTTTATTGCTTTTAGAATATGTGATCCGATATTATGAGCACCCTCTATGAATACATTTTTGTTTCCTCTAGAAAAAAATGCTTACTCACCATAAGCTCTAACGAGAAGAACCGACAACCACACTAAAGCAGACTTCATCTTAACTGATACGGATTCGATCGTTATGAATTATTTTATATGTGATGTGTTTGATATCAGTTTATCATAAAGCTTTCAAAATCCAGAACGTGTAACAAACAACAAGAGTGTGAACAGAATCCAAGCACGTAGCCCTGCAGGGAGGCTATAGGTAAGAATTCTTACCTGCTTGTGTCGCTACCACCAAAAATGTACCCCCTGGGAACCCTAAGGTATACACCGTGTCCACCTAGTGCGCGTAAGTCCAATATCTAGGTTAATAAAAGATATAACTTAATTTTGTTTTCTACAGAGTTGCCTACTTTCCCGACCTGCACAAAATGAAAATATATTTGCATATACAGGGTGTTCAGTTTTTCCTGGGCAGGTACCAACTTAATTTTTTTAAATGGAAATCTATATTTTTTATGGCATTATCGAATTCTACGTGAAAAATTAACGGGACTTTGTGTTATAATCCCTATTAAAATATTGATAGTTTTCGAGATAATCGACTTTTCATTTTTTTTTTCTCATGTTTTGTCACTTCTAGTAGTTGACATAATTATGATTGTATGACAGCTAGAAATATTTTTTTTTTTCAGGAACTGTAGAGTGAAGATGGCTCTTTCAAATAACGTGCCAAAAGTTGACCTGCGATATACAGGGGGCAAAAAAAATCGTGCCAAACCTGATAATTTAAAATTTGAAATATTTCGAATTTTTCAAATAGAACACCCTGTGTTTTATGATTTCATTCGATGCCTTTCTGTAGACCCTACAATTTTTTAATAGCTTTCCCTATACCTAAGTTGCGTAGTTTTTGCAAAAAACCCATTTTATGTAAAATACCGGATTTGCGCTCGTGCCTTTGTCGGGAAAAATATTGTAAGGGTATTTATTTTAAGTTAGCTTGCGACTATGAGTATTCTTTTTTCAAAATTCTATTCATCAAAATTTTTTAATCTCCAATTTCACTAATAACTTTCCTAACTACGGTAACAGTGCTTGATTTTCAATATGATACGGATGAAACTTCTTTTTCAATATTTTATTTGTCAAGCTTTTGAAAACTCCAAGGTTACTACTAATTTCCTGGTACTAATATTTGGATTTTCAACAGCAGACGCCACAACTTTAAACTAAATATTATTGTTGTTACTTTCATGTCTCCTGGTAGTTGTCTCATAATTCGCATTTGCTGTTCATTCAAACCTTTCCTTCACATTTTCAATACAGTGGAAATCTCTGTAAATTTGGATTATTTGCTTTGCAAATACGTGCTGCTAGCAAACATTTCCCATATTTTGCTAATTCTTAATCACTTGTAGCGATGTTATGGTTTTTTGATTTTATTTGCAAATAAATGGTAACTTTCCATAAAGACTTATTTATTAAACTCAAATATCTAAATTTTTAGTTTATTAATTATTATTTTAAATAGTGTAGCTAGACACCTAATAAATTTAATAACAATAAATACCCTTACAATATTTTTCCCAAAAAAAGAACGGGCGCAAATCCGGTATTTTACATAAAAATGTTTTTTTTTGCAAAAACTACGCAACTTAGGTATAGGGAAAGCTATTAAAAAATTGTAGGGTCTACAGAAAGGCATCTAATGAAATCATAAAACACAGGGTGTTCTATTTGAAAAAGTCGAGATTTTTCAAATTTTAAATTATCAAGTTTGGCACGATTTTTTTTTGCTCCCTGTATATGGCAGGTGAACTTTTGATACGTTTTTTGAAAGAGCCATCTTCACTCTACACTTCCTGAAAAAAAAAAAAATTTCTAGCTGTCATACAATCATAATTATGTCAACTACTAGAAGTGAAAAAAATGTAAAGTCGATTATTTCGAAAACTATCAATATTTTAATAGGGATCATAACACAAAGTTTCGTTAATTTTTCACGTAAAATTCGATAATGCCATAAAAATATAGGTTTCCATTTAAAAAAATTAAGTTGGTACCTGCCCAGGAAAATCTGAACACTCTGTATGTGCAAATATATTTTCATTTTGTGCAGCTCGGGAAAGTAGGCAACTCTGTAGAAAAAAAAGTAAGTTATATCTTTTATTAACCTAGATATTGGACTTACGCGCACTAGGTGGACACGGTGTATACTTTTTTGACTGCTCACGAAAATCTATACGACCTGTCCGAAAATTAGTAATTTTATGTTGTAGGCAATTAAATTACTTACAATTTAAGGTATCTAAATACATATTTCACCAATTTTATGCAAAAAGAGCAAATTCACGAGCAGCTTTTGCCTGAAAAGTGAAAGAACACGTAATTTAGCCACTTATTTGCAATTTGCCAACTTAGCGTCACTTGTTTTCGAGTGACTTTTTTTATATTATCGTTCTACATATAGACCAGGCAATAAAGAACGATTTACCCCCAAATACCTAGATTTTCGCGGTTCGGTCCGATTTTAATGCGGTTTTTTGCATTTTGTTCAGAAAGACCGTCGGAAAAAAGTCCCGCCTTTTTTATTATCCGGAAGTGGCGGAAATGCTTCACGGGTGCATAAAGTGCATCTAGAAGTGCATCACATCCGAGAAACTTGCCAAAGTGCACGAAATACCGCAAAAATTGGTACTCGGGGGTTTTGGGGGGCGCAGAATTCGAATATGCATATTTCCAGTCCACCCGACCCCCTGGGGGGCGACTTCCGGCCGCCTGGGGGACGCGGGGGGCACGTGGATTGCAAGATTCTCCGAATGACTGAAAAAATGGATCTCGGGGGTTTTCGCGTGTGCTGATTCCGAATCTGAGGGTGAAAAATATCCCTTGTGCTCGTGGAGGAAGAGGATGAGGAGGAAGATAATTTTGATTGGTATTTATAGTTGTTTATTATAGTTGTTTGATAAATGAGCCCGTGTGACAATTAATACAGAAGGAACGTGCATTGAATATATTTTAAAACAATAAATATACTTTTATACTTTAGAACAATAAATATATTTAAAAAAAGTGTCTGGCTTATCCTTTCTTTTTCCAACAGAACTTTTTAGATTGAGTTTCGTCCCATAATTTTCTATTAATTTATATTTATCTTTCTTAGAAGATTAACGCCCTTCCCCAAAATAATCAGAAATAGTCATCGGACGCATTTGGCAGTGTTAGATTCGGAATCAGCACCGGCAAAAACCCCCGAGATCCATTTTTCCAGTCATTTCGGGAGCTTTAGATTTCATACCCCCCCCCTTCCCCCCACCGCCCTCTCCACGAGCACAGGGGATATTTTTCACCCTCAGATTCGGAATCAGCAACCGCGAAAACCCCCGAGATACATTTTCCCAGTCATTTCGAGAACTTTAGATTTCAACCCCCCCCCCCCACCTCCACGAGCACAGGGGATATTTTTCACCCTCGAATTCGGAATCAGCACCCGCGAAAACCCCCGAGATACATTTTTCCAGTCATTCGAAGAACCTTGCAATCCACGTGCCCCCCGCGCCCCCCAGGCGGCCGGAAGTCGCCCCCCGTGGGGTCGGGTGGACTGGATATACGCATATTCAAATTCTGCGCCTCCCAAAACCCCCGAGTACCAATTTTTGCGGTATTTCGTGCACTTTGGCAAGTTTCTCGGATGCGATGCACTTCTAGATGCACTTGATGCACCCGCGATGCATTTCCGCCACTTCCGGATAATAAAAAAGGCGGGACTTTTTTCCGACGGTCTTTCTGAACAAAATACAAAAAACCGCATTAAAATCGGACCGGACCGCGAAAATCTAGACATTTTTCTCTTTAATACCCTTCCCCGTCATAAAGTGCCATAAAATGTCTCATGTGACAAAATCAAAATCATCAAGAAAAATTTAATTCAGTTTGGTAATAATATCAAACAATTAACATGGCTTTCTTTGATTCGAGTACTTACCCAAGGTGATGCCAATGAGAGTTGGAACACAGTAGCAATTCCATTTTGAACTACCTGCGAGAGTATGTGTGTTTTCTTTTTTATCATCATTTAAAAGGAAGTTAGGAATTAAGTAATCTAGTAACTTTACATTTTTAATTGACAATTTCACAGGTAGCTTAAAATGTGGCGGAATTTTGTGATTATCCGCAGATAAAATATAGTTTAAATGACAATTTTGGTACTACACGTTTAAATGTTAATGCAAATATTCAGGGGCGTAATTAACTGCATATTCAAGGCAAGCTCCACCACAACCGCCTAGATTAGCAAGTCCTAAACGCAACACGTCGCTTCATTAGTGACAGAAGTATTATTGATGAAGCAATGAATCTTTAACGATATGGATTTACGAATTAAAAGCTCAGTGAGATTAAATAAATACGAAATGTATATCGTCCCGTAACTGAAGCAGATGTTGTTATGAACAAAAAAACCTAGTTTAGTCTTTTGAATTCAACTTTAGAAATGTATGTTCCTATTTTGGCGGAGATGCCAATCAAAACTAAGCCGTTTGTCGCACCCCGTTTATGTTTTTTTATGTAAAACGAAGTTTTAAATTATGTGACGTTATACTTCGTTTGTTCGTCAAGGGCAAAGTACGTTTGCCACTATGACGCCTGAGCAGAAGTACAACAATAATAGTAAAGTTGCTCTGGACTGACGTGCGACTGGTAGGGTTGAAAATAAATCGTGATTAGTTATGACTTGCGTTGCAACTTGCAACTTATAGAACGGAATAAGGGGGATGACAACAATAACAACAACCGACAATGTGAGGTTGCATAATTTTATGTTTTATGAATTGTTTTGAATAACGGCTTCTTTATATAATATTGTTTCATCTTCAAAACGTTTTTCAAGTCGGATTAGCACCTCAGCTAATATCTAATATCGGTGACGGATAGAATTAAGTCAGGATTGATTCGATTTTTTTACCTTGTTAGATTAGCCGTTGTTATCAGGTGAATTTCCACTACAACTAGTCGGTACCAGATTTTGATTAGTCGCTGTACAAAAGTGAGACCTTACTATGATTTTAGTTTTAGATTATATACAGGATGTAACTTTAACTATAATTAGTAATTTTTTCTAAATAGATGAAAGTTATTTATGTTTTTCAAATGTTGAGGTA